AGAATTAGATTGAACATATATGATCAGGAGACTTCGCCCACTGCACCAAAATGGGCGGTGTTTAACTCGGAAATTAGTAGTTTACTTTCAAAACGGTCAATGTGCTAGAGGAAAGGGAGTGAAGCTAGCAGCAACGACAAGCTGGGCGCTCATCGAAAGCAATGTGGTAGCGTTCCGCAGGTTGAGATAATCGTCAGTTTTGCTGCGATCCAATCTTGAATTGACCCAAGAACCAACAAACCACCCATTGGTCTCCTAACTCTTGTGTTCCAAAGCTTCACAGGAAACAAGCAAAAACGAGATTTACCTTGGGAGCAGCAAATACTTTCGCACTACCTTCTTCAACAGCTTCAATTATCTCTTTACGTTGCAACTCGAAATTGGTTTTGTCATCGTCGCCCTTAAAAGCAGTAGTGGTAATATTTTACAGAAGCAAAAGATAACAGCGAGACTAAGAGGCCTTAAAGAGGTTCACTCTTTCTCAACGTCGCAGAACATTCTCCCAAGCAAGAAGAAAACCTGCCTTCTTAACTGTCGAGTCGATAGCGGCGTTCGCTCTGAAGTCTCTTGTAGACGGATCAAAGGTCGTTGCACCGCGCTATAACGAACCAGGCTAACAAAAGGTGCAGGAAAAACAGGTTGTGGTAGTACCTTTCCAAAAGAAATCCACTTTGGCGCTTTACAATCCGATCGCGTACCTCGCTGGGACTCTCCAAGGGAATGCTGAAAAGACACTTAAACTCAAGGGCATCTCATTTTGAAGACCACGTAGTTGAGCTACCATAGTGATTAAAATCAGCAGCTGTACCGAAAATCATGTATATGAAAAGTAAAGGCACAGAAAGCTCCCGTCTAAAAGATCCAAACCGCTTACCTGTTCTATTGTCCACTTTTCGACGAGTTTTTCCACATGCCCTCCGAGAGTTTTTCCACATGCCCCCCAAGCACAGCGACATTTTGTGGGTTCAAAATTACAAAACCGTTTTCCACTGAGACCGTACCAGTTATCCGTAGCTTGGTCCCAGGTGGTGTATCAGAGCTAAACATGTCACAAATAGCCATCAAAAACCGATCCAGTTGAGAAGACAAGTGGTGATTGAAAACAGACTTACTTCAGACCTTTAATATTTTCTAAAAGTAGTGCTGATATGGTAGTGTGACCATCGGTGAGAGACATGCGAGCGACATCGCTACTACTTCGCACGTCTTCCTTAACTTTTGGCTGAGATACGTTCCTGAAACATCACATATTCAACTACATGAGTGTTTATGGCTTCATCGCCGACAAACAGTTCTGCTGATTCGCTAAAAAGAGAAAGAAAAACAGTAGGCCTGAAATGGTACCTGTATCTGATTAGTTGGAGAACTATAGGGCCACTGAGGACTTCTTTATTCATACAGTTTGATAAACAAGGATCACCATATTCACGAATGTCAGTCTGAAAAAATGAATTTCATTCGAAAAGGAAATATTCTGGAACCATCACGAAGCGTGGTGCTTCTCTAAAATTCTTGACATTGTTCGCTGTGTTACAGTTCTGCTCAACAAGTTCCCTGCTCACAAACATTCCTGCATTACGAGCGTGAGCAGGGATGTTTGGGCAGACCTAGCCTAACACTCAACTATGTTAGTCTGAGCATAGCTCCTAGACATTTACAGGTGGGAGGAATAACGCATCTCTACTTCACCCAGCAGAAGACTTTTCCAGGGTTCCCTCTAGCCTGGAAGAATATTCACCCATCATCGAGTTTGCCGTAGCAAGCACAGTGGCCTAACCCCTCTTCTTCGTATTGGGTCTAATTGTGAGGGCGAGGGCAGAAGGCCGCGTCACTGGTGCACCCCTCCCTATTCACCCTTTCACAGTAAAGGCAGCATTAATGAGGAACCCTTCACGATTTTTTAATCTCCGCCCATCCAACTACTGCGTAACGTAC